ATAAGCAGCACATCACAAAAAAGAAAAACTTGATTTCGTGGATGGGCTGCAGTCCACCCCGAACTGGGAAACGATACTTGCCGATCCGCAACTAAAATTTTACCGCTTCAAAGTGCTCCTAATTGCAAGATTACCTGCTCCTAAATGCTCCAAAACTCAAATTTTAGTGCTCCAAAATGCTCCACAACTAAAATTTTACTGTTCCCAAGTGCTCCAAAACTAATATTTTACTGCTCCAAAGCGCTCCAAAACTAAAATTTAACTGCTCCAAAAATTATTCCAAATCGACAGTGCCCAGTGCAATCACTTTAAATGCAAGTGTTGTTTTTCTCTTTCTCCGCAGTAAAGTTGCAAAACGCTAAGATTACCTTGTGTTTTGATGCTGGCTACTGAAGCTGGCATATTACTTAGCCTAGGCAATCAACCCTGATATTGGGGAATGCCATCTGCAGGAGGTCAAATGTGCATATGTACTAATGTTTCGCCAGTTCAGTTCAGTTGTGTTTGCAGTAAAACTGATGGCTGGGTAAATTGGTAAAAATTTTTTTTTTAGTGTGCACAAAAGACAAGGACACTGGTTTCATCCAGGGTGGTATATTGCTGAAGTAATATGTAAAGTATTTAGTCGCATAATCAACGCACTTGCATGATGAACCCACCCCCCACCTTGGTCCTTGAAAAAGAAAAAGATTTCTTATTGTATCTTCATTTTATTTTGGTGCGCTACCCTGTGGGGTCTAGAGGTGGTTATCGCCATCACGTTCTTGGAGTGAACGAACACGGCTGACATGGTCGGAACAAACCAATTACATATTTATTTAACTACTTTTGATTGACGATATTGTCAGCCGAACTATAATATCATAAACAAACTTACACATAATTATACAACACTCAACATAACAAACGCAAGGCGGTGTCGCCAATGCCTGACTCGCCACAGTGGCCCCCGGCAGACGGCCCGCGGTGCCTTGCACCAAGGGACACCACGAGAGACAACCGTTCGCGCCAAACGCTACCAGACGAAGAGATTAACTTATTTCTTGCTCGCTGCTACCAAGGCTTGTGGCCGCCAGGGTTATACCATGATGATGATTTATGGTAGTGGTGATCAACACTCGCAAACACAACGCCACCTACTGCCCGATAGACGGTAGTTGTAACCTGAAATGCGGCTTTTGGGCGAGGCACATTCGCCACGCGGTGCAAACAATCTTACAGGGTGTGTCAGCACTCCACAATCCAGTGCCATTTATAATATCGAAACATTATAACACAAAAGAATGAGGCATTGAAAGGGAAAGCATAGTGTCGCAACTATGATAAACAGTTGCGAGCAGCGCGCATGACGTCAATCAAAATTTCAAGGTCGCACCTTTCACGGTAGAGCACCATCTGTCGAATGCAAGAGAAACCTCTTAACTTATACCGTAAAACCTCGTTATAACGAAGCGGGTTATAACAAACCAACAGATATAATGAAGCAATCGTAATTCCCTTTGAAATTCTCAAGACACCCATGTATTTAAGACCTCGTTTTAACGAAGCGAAAATTTCCCCATAATGTATATAACAAACCATTCCTTGTCCACAATGAGCATTTACTGGTCATTTAGGTATATGTCAATTCCTAATATCTTATAGCGTGCGACGGTTTACGTCTCATCACGGCCGCGGTAATTCAAAATTCGCGCCATGCGCTTCCTGGGAGCGGCTTGCCAACACGCGTGTGGGAGCGAGTCTCCACGCTTCCCTTCTCTTCTGGAACTAATGAACTCACCCGTGCAGCAACTCGCGCGAGCGTGCGCAACAGCCAGCCTCCCCTCTCCTGTAGAACTCGTTAACCCACCCGCGCATCTGACCTCCTCCCCTTCAGCTCCGCTCGCCATCGGGGCGGCGGAGATTGTGGCTTTTCTCTTTGTCGTTTACTGTGGAAGAACAATGCCACCTCTATCAGTTTCCGTTGTTAGACACGGGATAGACAACGGCAGCGGCAAACGTAAATGCAAAATTATAACAATCAAGCAGAATTTGGCAATGTTGAAATCCCTCAAGTCTGGCGTCAAGGAAAAAAAAAATGGCTGAAGATTACAGCGATGTGTGGGTGCCGTGGTGGCCCCAGGCCCACACGTTGTGGGGCGCTCTTTTTGACACCAGCGTTGTGCCTGACTGCAACACTTTCTGCATGTACGTCGATGCTGACGCGATAACAACCGAAGAGTTGTCAGATGTGGAAATTGTGCCCGCAGTCACGGGCGTGCAATGCGACAGTGACAGATGTGTCGACACCCCGGAGCCTAATGTTGGCGAACCCGACGTACCGATGCCCGTGCAAGCGCTGGATGCGACAGGCTTGCTGTGCCGCTTTTTTTGGTGTTTGCGATGATGACAAGGACGGACTCAAAATAGCTGCTGCAGCTCAGAAAGCAGTCATCCGTGTGAGGAAGAGTCGGCAAAAATCTATTGAGTACTATTTTTTTTTTTTTCGAAGTGATCTTTCAGCTGGTGTGCTGAATTCAGTGGAAATAAAGTGCATTGTTATTTATTATTTTGCTAACTTTTTGCCTTCCGACGACCGTTTTAATCTGCGTGGAGGGCAGCTGTGATATTCATTGGCGAGTACATTCTCTCTTGTTGGCTAACTGTCAGTAGAAATGGATATTGGGTATAACGAATTACAGTCAAACCTCGCTACAATGAAACTTAGAGGGCACTGAAAAAATTTCATTGTAGTGAAATTGAAAAATTAATAGCTGATCAGGGCTGGGAAAACAAAGGAACGTTTATTCTGAAAATTCAAAAAATGCCCGCTGCTTCCTCTTCTTTTCCAGCAACGTCGCGACGCGATTGTCACCCATGCATAGCGACGCCATGGTGAAAAGCGCTGAAACAACGCCTAAAACCGGCTTCGTGAACGAACCAATCAGTTGCATTAACACGTTAACACAAGCAGCTGTTCACTGTCAAAAGTATTCGACAACGCCGAGATAGAGGCAGGGTATCGTGGAGTGGTGACTTTTGCATTATTCTATGCCATTCTTATCATCAATAATTAGCGGTTAGCTTATTTTGTTGATAATGTGGACGAACAGCCGCTCTCATTAGTTATCACACTAGCCAAGCGCGAACATAATAAGCATCGGAATCCGAAAAGGCATCGTTTTGAAGTTGTACCCAGCAGCTGCGTGACGGAAACTATGAACTGAGCGATTGAGCTTCAGCTTCGGATCGTCTGCGGCTCAAAGCAAGCCAGTGGCAAAAGCAGGGCAGTCTCATTGCCATCGGTATCGAGCGATGGCGGCACCCATGCTTGCTGAACTGCGGCGGTATAGCGGCGGTTTCTGGTGGTGCCAATGCGTGTTTTAGATTTCGTTGATGCATTTTCAGGCTCTGAAAACGCATCGAAACGTTAAAGATTGGGTTTACTGCTTAAAAATAAGTGTCTGAGCCTAGAATTGCATCAGAATTTCTCTGAAGCGGGACGAAAAAAAAAGTGTTCGTTGTGGCGACAATATTTATGCATTGACTCCTATAGATTACTGACAGGGAATCTTGAATTTTTCAGCAGAGTTTGACTGTAATGGTTATAACAAACTAATGACTCCCCCTTCGACTTCATTATAACGAGGTTTGACTGTAGTGCCACGCAAGCACAGCGGCATGAGAACAAAGCAAAGAGCAAACATATGGCGTCCAAGGTGGCAGGCGCACAGTGCAAAAATTCGCCATGCGCCCGCCATTTAGGAGGCCATACAAAGCGTTGTGCCGATGGCGCATCACTCGCGACGATCTTTGTGTGCAGCCATCAGACACAGCGTTTTTTTTTTGTTGTCGGGGTCGTCGTAGTAAACTTAGTTGAGGGCACCTGCTACGCAGGGCGTGTTCAGCAGGTACGCTAGCTATACGGCTGGTTTTAAACTTGAAGTTGGTTGAGCACGCGGTGGAGTATCCAGGGTGGGATGAGTCATCCAACCTAATGGTTGGATGACTCATCAGCGTCTATCTATGCACTTCGGTTATGGGAAAAAACAAGAGCTCCTGTCAACAAAAAAGATTCATAGCGCATTTTCTTAGGCCAAAAGAAGCAAAACCGTCATGCTAAATTTTTGCTTTAAAGTTCATCGAGCATGCTGTGGGCATGGGAACCAAATGGCTGAACGACACATCGGCGTCGATCCATGCACGTTCGGCATGGGAAAAAGCAAGAGCTTCAATCTAAAAAAAGGTTCGTCGCACATTTTGCAGGGCAGAATAAGCAAAACCATCATGCTAAATTTTTGCTGTTATAACTACCGTGACTTTTCTCTCACGTAATGAACCCTCCTCCTAATTTGGCGTCAACTTTTCTGAAAGAAAGGGGGGGGGGGGTCATTATGTGAGTAAATACGGCATTTTGTCCAGGACGGTGAAGTACTAGGTTAAACACATGCCAGGCAAAGGGGTCGAGCACGCTGCATGAAGTTTTGCCTTCGCTTATCAAGCCATCGGTCACACAGAAAGCTTATGTTGCAATAGGGCATCACTAGAATATCATGCATTATAATATACACACTGAACTCACATACATATAGAACAACAAGTTGAACAATAGTGGTTGAACAACACGAACAACACGCATTCATGTCTAGCTTGACAACCTTTGAAGACACGTAAAATTCGTGCATTTTCACTCTAGGCTGCTTTTGTAGCATCCAAGCATGCAGCTCGTGGAACTAGCCATCACAATTCATCCTAATTCAGCTGCTAAAGCTCGTTGATGCAGCTCGCCAATGCAGCTGAACTCACCGAGTACTCTGATACTGGCATGCACTGTGACAGCGGTGACTTAGTGCAACTCGCGGTGAGGTCAGTCTATTGGAAGTGCCTCTGGTCATCTAAGTACTGAAAAATACATGGTAAAACTTGTACAAGTTATTCGTGAATGACAATGTTTTGTAACGTGCTTTGATATGAATTCTTGCTTTGATATGAATTCTGGCTCGTGCTACACACATACGCAGAGGCTCGGCAGAGGCAACCAAGCAGGCGCAACTCTTGATCCAGAGCCTGGTGCAGGAACCTGAAAGAGACCTCTCAGACATAATGGCCCAGCATGGTGTTGCAGCTCCAACCCCTGCAAAGGCATCGACATCTTCCTCGGACCATCGAGCCTGCTCCTCTACTCCTGCCAATCACACCGTGAGTCACTGATGTTCATTTGAAGCAACTTGATTCTATGCTCTAATGTCCTCTTCATAGTACAATGGAACCCCGTTTATAGCGGGCCGGGTAGGAAAAACCAAGCAGCCAAGAAAACACAAGAGTGAGGAAGGCTCCAAAAATGAAAGGGAGCATAGGCACTTCGACTACAAGCAGTTTATTTCAGCAGATAGTTCAAAGATAGTTGACTGCCCCTTCTTTCGCTCGCTGGTAAGCACATCGTGTTACTCAATGATCTCGAAGGCCACATTGCTTTTAACGTCGCTTTGGTGTGCGACGTACTTGCGAAGGTAATGCAAGGCCGCGACGGCTTCTCCAAAGTTGAGATCGGCCAACTCCACTGCCAACTCTTCAGAATCATGTGGCTCATGCTCGTCGTAGTCATCAATGTCTCCACCTTCAGTTGCGATCTCTGCATTGTGTGCGACTCCGACGTCACGACGGCAGCATCCACAGCGACGTAGTCGGCGTACGTCGTACCTGTGGCACCCAGCGCATTAATTGTCTCATTGAGCTTTTGGTCACAAGAGGGTGGTTCCGGTTATATAGCTTCGATAGCAGTCCCCCCTTCGCTGTCCATACAGAACCCACACCTCGCAAACCAGGGCTCTACAGCTGACGTGCGTCCACACTGATGCGACGTAATGTGTGGCGTCGAGTACCGAAATTGTCGTATGCTGCTGTCCACTATCAATAGGCGCGATACAGCGCTTGACGATGCTTTTTCTGTACGAATTCTTCACGCATTTTATGACCCCGGCATCCAACGGCAGCAAGTGGCTTGTCGTATTTAGTGGAGGAAAAAAAAAAAACAAGTTTTTGTAAAAACTGCAGCACAATTGACCAGGAAAAGGAGAACCCTCCTGCACTGTGAACTTATGTTATTATCGAAGCATCGAAGCAACTCTTGAAACAAAGTGCACGTGATCCATACAAGACTGTTACTTCTGTAGTGACATGGTAGCAGACTTATGTTTTTAAGCACCGTGGGTTTTTTGAACTTGCCGATCACGCAAGGCTTTAGTTTGTCTGAGCCATCCATATTGCAGCAAAGGAGCACCGTTAGCCGGTCTTTGCTGCATTTGCCTCCAAGCACGCTTCGCCCTTCAGGCTTTACGATTTCAATGGCTGCCCATGAAACAAGAGGACTGTTTTGTCAGCGTTCTAAATGTCGCGAGGCCCGTACCCCTCAATTAAAGCAGATGTGGACTTCCAATGATCGGCTGTTTCCATGTTCACACTTGCCGCTTCTCTGCTTACCGTTTACTAAGCGATGCCGTGCCCTTTGTGGAAACGGTCGATCCAGCCGTTTGACGCCACGAAATCAGTGATGCCCAATTTGTCGGCTATTTCGATCGCCTTCTTGCGTAAAGTGCGGCCGTCAAAGTTGGTACCAGCAGTGCGAGCTTGCTCTTCGAGGTTCTCATGCTTGGCACCGCGAACCTGCTTGGCTTTTGGGCTGAAGAGGGTGGCGTTTCTTTCAACTTCTGCACGCTTTAAGACAACGCTCTTGAGCGTTGACAGTGACAGTTCAATGGACAAGCAGCGCGCTGGCTGCTTGTAAATTGCTTTAAGGGGGGACACTGTACTTAAGAAATGCCAGATATTTTCATGTGTTTATAAAGAAATTCCCAGTGTGATTGAGATTTTGATGCTGATTTCAAAATTGTAATTAGTATTCCTCTAAACCAATTAGTTTTTTAGATATCCTAACATTAATTACCTATTGTTTGCCGGTACGATGCCACAAGAAATTTGTATTGCAGAGCTACTATTGGCACATGCCTGTGTACTAATGAACATAAGCCACACAACCGTAGGAGTGCTTTTTTGATTTGATGATTTTAGCAAGCTTTGTCGCACCTTGCATTTCAGTGTTGCAGGCACACCCACTTTATGCTCCAATTTAGGCAAAAATAAAATTCTTGAAGATCTCAATCAAAAATTCACACGTACCAATGTGTAAGCTAAAGATACAGCTACATGTCACAACAAAAATGACAGTCCTACCTGCTCTGGAGGCAGAAGTATCTTTTAGACAAATTTGCAGCGGCAGCAAAATTTCAATCAGGAGAAATCATGCAAAAACACAAGTCCATTTTGGACAGACACTAGCACAGAAAAGCTGTTTATTTACAATGATTTGCAAATTCAGCTTTCTCAGTAGGCACGGGGCATGTGAAGTCCTTCTGTTTTGCGACACCTAAATTACGTTTTTTCAATGCCCGCTGCATGTTTTCTGCAGAGGCACATTTGCGAGCTGATGCGGCCGCCGTGTGCGTGTCTGCCGACTAGGCCGCTTATCAGTTCGGTAACAGGTACTGACAGGTGCGACGAATGCAATTTGTCGTATGATAAAGCGATGTTTTCCGGCTTGTCCAGATTGAGTTGATGTCGAAGACTGCAAGTGCAGTGAGGTGTTAGTTTCCTTTTTATGTAAGATTGCCACATTTTCGAGTAGAGGCCGCAGCGCAATATGTTCATCGTTGTGTACGTGTCTTTACAAGCACTCTACCTGTTGCCAGTAGCCTCCATTGCGCAAGCGGCGAACATCTTCATCGTAAACGGATTGATTTTCTGTTGTTTGTCAACACGCGGCCAACTCCTCTCTGACGACCCGTCACGCAGTTCACACACACATGAGGTCGTTTTATCAGGCGGGAGAAACCCGCGTCATCGGCGCGTTTAGCGATAAGACTGCGCTTCCGTTTCATCGTTTCAAAGATGCTATCTCTCGTAGCTTCACTTCTGCTTTTTTACTTGCCGTCCTGTAACTGTTGAGGCTCCAAAACATGGCCGCTTTCAGCGACGTTGTCGACAGCCGACGGACTCGTACGTGAGTTAGGCCTACACTGGTGATTTGGCACCCCCGCTGAACGCTGCAAGTTTGTTATCCTCTTTGTCCTGAGTGATAGCGGGGCTCTTTCTGAAGTTCACAGCAAACGAACGATCGTCACACCCGCTTCACAAATTAGTGTATCGCGGAACTTCTTTACTGTGGCAGGCAGTCGACAGCACCATGACAAAATGGCGATGTCCGTGCGTGTCACTATGAAGAAGCAGACACCGGAAACGCCACTTGGCTAAACGGGTGCTTAGGTTTTGTCACGTGCCCCAAGCATCAAATAGAATCGCGCGCTGGTGCTTCTCGATGATGCGTTTTTGCTGAAAAACCAATGAGCAAGGCAAGCCACTGGTGGCAAGAAATTGAAGATGAAGAACGACCCTTCCAAACGAAACCAAGATGACCACAATAGCTCGTGTGTAACAGCAACGGTTTGGCGTGGAAAAAGCGAGACTTTAGCGTCTATTTGTGCTCAGATTCATCTTATAAGTTTGTTTTGTGCCAGAAATAATGACACGAGAAGCTAGAAACTTCTCAGATAAGTGCAAAAATAGTTGCAGATTCCGAAAATGACAACTTCAAAAAGTAGATTTTTTTCGCAATTTTCGGCCTTTTAAAACCCGTGTCTCCCCTTAAGTATGTCTAGCTTTTCCTCAAGGGAAAGCCTTTCCGCTTACACGACACCATTAAGGCTTGACAAAGATTGCGTTGACAACTTAAACGGTAACAGGCTTAGCACGCACAACAGCGACTGAAGATGAGTCGCAACCTGCGGCGTGTGGTGGTGTGACTGTCATGCAGTTCCGGCATTCCATAGTGAACCTTCCGTTGTAAGCACAGTGATGATGGTAATAGACCATGCATCACGTCGTGCTTGATTGCCCGGGTCTACACACGAACTCGCGATAGCACTGGATTTCCGAAAACTGAATGAGCGTTTGCATTGGGAAGCGGTTGCTGCTACGAAAGGGCGTCTGGAGGGATGGTGGCTGCCAAGCACCTTGATGGTACAGCGGCAGCGCACAGCCACACTGTAGAGGCAAACATTAAAGTCACCCCAAACAGAGCTAACCATGTTTTTGTATTTTTATTTATTATATTTTTTATTGGCCAATATCCGGAAACACCGTTGATTGCCCGCTAAAAGGGAAGGGCCGCAGAAATCATCATCAAAGCCTTGATTGCCGCTGTGAGCATCACCAGCGGTGCCATTAGGCAAGGCTAGGGCAGGCCTACAGTGTACTGGCAACGCCATTTTGCTGCGGTTATCTTTGTGAGCCTGCTGGTTTCTTTTTCTATATTCTTTAGAAATGAGTGGTAGTCGATGGCAGTTTACGATGGGATTTAAGAAAAAAAGTTATCTATAATGTTGAGGCGCACTGCAACGTGGCGGCACAACAGGAATTCGGTGCATCGACGAAAAGCGTCCTATACTGGAGGAGCCAAAAAGCAGCGTATCACATCCTGCAGCAACAAAAGAAAAACCTTCGTTTCATGGACGGACTCTAGTGCACCCCAAACTTGGAACGCTATGCGCCGAATTCATCCGGAAGCTGCGTGCAGAGTCGCTTACCTGTGACAGCAGAGTGCATCTGCGTGATAGCTATCAAGATAGCGTGCGACTCTGGGCTCACGAGCGCTATTCAAGGCATCGCCATCGTGGGTGCGCCAATTTATGAAGCGGAAGGGCTTTGCACTAAGGCGGTTTACTTTCGTGAGCCAAAAACTGCCCGAAGATTTCGATAACAAGCTGGTCGAGTATCAGTGCTTCGTCGACAGCATTGCTACATGATGGGACACATGGGCAACGCTGGCGAAACTCCGATCTGGTTTAATATGCCTTCGAATTGGACTGTAACCGCTAAAGGATCCAAGCAAGTAGAGATCTTGACAACGGGCATCAAGCATTCGCGATTAACAGTGATTCTCACGTGCACAGCCGATGGAAAGAAGCTCCCCCTTATACAGTCCAATCCCGCTATAACGAATTCTGCTACAACGAAATTTCTGCCACAAGTGATTTTTGATTCCTGTCAGCCGCCCATATGTCTCATCATAACGAATACCTTTCCTTGATATTCGGCTTTAACGAAGTTTTTGCGAGTACTACCGCGTAATAAAAAGAAGCTTGCCC